TCGGCTGGGGTGGGGGGGGGTGGGTGGTTGGTTGCAAAAAGGAGAATGTGGAACTAATTCCTAGCATGCAGAACTAAATCACTATTCCAGTGAAAACTTAATGGTCATTTTTAGTAGGCCTATTAAACCCTTAATTGAACTAATTTTATTCCCCCTTCCCCCAAGCCTATGCCCATTATGTCTTGCAATTTGATATATAAATTAAACAATTGGGGATTTATGTTACTAATAATATCCGTAATATATCCATTTCTTTTTTAATTTATCTTCAATCTGATTTTCTATAACATGTTGATAAACGAGAGTAGTACTTTCCCAGGGCACTCGACTGCCCAGGGCAATCAACTGCCCAGAGAAAATAACTGTATTCAATCATCTCTTGTTTTGTTACACTTCATATTAACATAATCATATCTCAAAAATAATACTGTAGTATTTTAGAATGTTGTTTTTTAAAAAAAAAGCTTCAAGTTTAATTTTTAATATTCAATACGATTCATTACTCATTTTGTCTACAATAACCTGGAAACATGACACTGTCTAATATGACAGCTTAGAGCATTTGCGATACACAAGTACTAATATGCTAGCAGACTTACTATTACTGCTGTTTTGTTGAGGTACTGTGTCATCACGCACTGTATCTGAAAATAATATTTGCTGCGAACTGATGTCGCTAAAAGCGTGGCTTACCGGATGATCCAGCTCAGAGGTGAATCTTCACATCATTATTTCAATAAAACTTTAATGCTGTATTTATCCAATTACTGCAAGCGTAATGCTGGACATATTGTTCATCCATTATCATCTGTTATTTATGTACATGAGATTTGAAAAAAATACGACCCATAAGTATTTGTGATTATTATACGGTAGTACACTTCAGTAGTGTTTCATCGTATGGATTCAGTGTTGTAAGTTTTATTGCTTATCTTCTTATACTGCAGTTCTAGATGGTACACTGTGTGTGGTTGTATTTCCCTATAAATATACTATAAAATTAGCTATAAAAATTGTTTTTAAATGAAATTAATTTTAATCAGATCTTGTATATGTGTCCTTTTCCAGGCTATCAATCCAAAATTGTCTTAGTTTAATAATAACTTAGTTTTATGCATTTGATGTTCTTATGTTTGATTATGAAGAATAGGGAACACAGTTTCTGTAAGCATTTCCTATCTGGGAAATCTATTTTATTTCTTTAAATATTTGCCAAATAATGTTGTTATTATCATCATCCTAAACATTCATCATCATCATCCTCATCATTATCAACATCATCCTCATCACTATAGCCTACATATGGTAGCCAGTATAATTTTATTATATTCGGGGATCTGTTTTCACAATGATTTCTAATATATTTTAAGGGAAAACAATTCAAATTGGTTTTGGTAAATGTTTTTTTTATATGGTATATAATAGGCTGATATCATAGGCATCATTAAGATCACAAGTCAGAATATGGCCTAGGTACTTAGTTTCAGCAACATAATCTAACTCTCCACCAGTAATTTTTTGAACACTGTGTTGTTTATGTGGATTTCTGATGTGCATTAATGTTTTTTTATTCTTTCTTGTAATGTGTTTTTTATGGATAAATCTGAAATAAAATTGAATTGAATAGAAAATAGAAAATCATCAGTCATTATTAATTGTTATTTTTTTTTATTGTAATGTATTTTTCATGGAGAAATTTGAAATATATAAATATGAAATATAATTGAATAGCAAATAGAAAATCATCAGTCATCATTGTTAATTCCAAGTCCAATGTATCTGTGAAGCTGTAGTTTATTGACCTACATAGCATTTTCTATAAATATCGAAATGAAAGCCTGTACAAAGGTGCCTTTGTTGAACAGTGGCAAATATCCATCACTCAACTACACGGAAGTCATTCCCTTATACTTATATTTTCCAGGTGGACGTGAGAAACTTCAGTGCCGATTCTGTCCCCAGACGTTCAGCAGGAGGAGCTCTCGGTCATACCATGAACGCAGGCACAGGAACGACGCCCCCTACATGTGCCCAAAACCTGGGTGTAACAAACGCTTTATCGCTGTGATCGACTTCAAAAGGCATTTGATTTTTCATACAGGTAGGATACCTTTGAACATATATCTTCATATGTCGATGATTCTTTGCTCAACTTCAAACAGAATTTGATTGATTGAATACGTGCAGAATATTCGCTTGTATTTTCTATTTTCATGTGTTAAGTGTCTTTGGTGAAAAACAAAATTTGAATAGTATATGAAATCATTCGTTCATTCTTTGCCATTCATAAAAATCACAATACAATTATTACATACAGTAAAATAAAACAAAAAATAACCAAAACTGTAAATCTAAGTAGGCAAGGATTAACTAATCAATTAAAATCACTGTAGCTAACAAGCTTGTTAATCTATTCCTAGAAAAACAGAAATAAGTTAAAACAGTATATATAAAATTATATAATATAAAATATAAGTCTCAGAATCAAGTAACCAGAGGATCCACTATTTAGTTTTAAATAGAACAAAAAGACAGTAACTCCGAAAAGAGACAGTTAAAAGCTATTACTTTCTATTGTTTTAAACTTAATATGTGTACTATTAATCGAAAGGTCCACTGATTAATCTCAGATAAGAAAGTATAATACATACTCCAAGTATTGAAATACACGCCATCGTGTTGGGATTCAGAATCCCAACACGATGGCGTGTATTTCAATACTTGGAGTATGTATTATACTTTCGTACTATTAATGGTTTCAATTTCATTGTTATTCATTGTATTGATATAAATCTGAATATTTTGCATTGATTCACTAAATTAACCTACATTAGGAAATTAAATTTGCTTATGTGCTACAGTATTCTATTATTTGTATTTAATATTTATTAATTATATAACTTGTACTTCTATTTTGATTTCATTTGTGAAATATTTATCTCTGTTCATTGCTTTCTTATTGTTTGAAGGTTTGCATGGCAAAGTAATAATATATATTATGCTTGTGGTACCCCACTTAGATAGTGCTGAAAAGAACTGTTGTTGTTGGTTGACAGAACTATTTACGTTGTGTACCGCAAGCATTAATATATTATCATTGCTATCTTACCAATTTAAATGTTTGATAAAGAATGATTTTCAATGCTGCTTTCTGATTGGTTGATAGGAGCGAAGCTGTATCGTTGTCGTTATTGTAGCAACTGTTTCACGCGGAGCGATTACCTAAAAAGTCACGAGAAGAAGCATCACAGTCGAGGAGAGGTGATGGAAGTTGCGCCCTCTCTAGAGGAGACAGTCACCATAAAGGTAATAATAATTTTTTTTAGAAAACATTCTTAATGAGATTCAAACACAGCACCCTCTAATTTTTGCTCAGCTATTCTACTAATTAAGCTATGAGGCAAGCTGGAATATATACCCCTGGATTATCCCATTGGGACGCATTTTTCTCAAGGTATTGCATACATAGAGATGATAATAAACTTCTGAGAAAACAATGTTTTCCCAACACCATTAATAAGCATGTGTGGATTTGAAAATGATTCTAACAACGGCAGCAATGTTGGTGAGGATAAGAGAGAATGACTGGTTTTGGTAGCCATAGTGATTAATTAATCAGTCAAACTGTCATTCTGTTTATTGGTCCAATATATAAAAAAATTCTTTTTTGATTACTTATCTTATAACATTATATGTAATTAGTATTTAAGATTATAATAATGGTGGAAACTCCGATGATGATTAATGAATTTTAATTTATTTGAACCATATTGAATGTGCTGCACAAGTACACGGCCACTGACCATTGACCATAAATGAAGGTAAACCATTCATTGGTTGTCATATCTCTGCATCTATGAATCACTTTCATTACTGTATTAATATTATCTCTGCCATCCCCAACAGGTACCATGGCCAATGGAAAAGCCAGTCAAAATTCAGGGCCAGAATGTGACAGTGGTAATAGAGCCAGACCCAACTTTGCTGGAGACACCGTCATCAACAGCAGAGGCCATGGCTGCACTAGAAAACATTCAGAACCAAGTGCATCAAGACATCCCTGTACAGATTGTCACCAGTAGGGGCCAGCAGATTGTGACATCTCTCCCACCAGCAACAACATATGTGCAAGCGACTCAGGTAGGATTAAATGCTGTTTATAACTTGTGTGCATGTTCAGCCATGTGGGCTTCTGTGCATGTACAATATGATGGCATGGTACAGTATATACAATACAGCTAGTGGCACTTTATAATATTTTTTATACCTGTTTTTGTAGAGTTTCCAGTCAGCAACTGGTGAACAGCAGCCTGTCCTCCAGATCATGCAGCCTGTAGATACATCACTTCTGGAACACAACGAAAACATCGCCGAGCAAGATCAAACTGCAGGGCTACAAATTTCTGGTCCGTCGTCTGCTTCTGACGTTTTACAACAAGCAGCGGTGCAAGCCCAAGTGGCCCTTGAGAGTAATCTTGCCCAAGCATCGGCAGAGACCACCAAGCTGTTATTGCAGGCAGCCAGTGAACAGGAAGATCTCATGCGTCAAGATGGTACGTCAACACAAATCACCATCCAAGATAACGCTGCGATGGTCCTTCAACAGCTAGCCACCGAAAGTGCACAAGTCGTCTTGCAGCATGCTGGTGCAGACGGCACCGAGACCCTGATGCCCGTATCTATTGAACAGGCTGAAGATGGTAGTATTGTTATGATGAAGGTCGTCTCACAAGATGGCACTGTTTCCTACACCCCCATCCAACAGATGGCCGGTGATGGTAGTACCATCACCATGCTTACTAATGAAAGTATTAATCAAGCTGGTCAGATGGTGCAGATGGTCACAGATGGTGAATTTGAAACAGGCGAACACCAGATGATCGCAGTCGGAGATGGCCAGTACGTATTAAAAGATGGAGCATTCGTCGAACAGATCATCACTGATGGCCAAATGGTAAATTCAGGCCCAAATATCATCAGTAATGGTCAAATAGTTACCGATGGTCAGATTGTAGCAGAGGTTGGAGAAAATCAGATGGTCGCAAAAGCTCATATAGTCACTGAGGCTGCTGAGATGGTCTCCAAAGGGCAGATTGTTATCGGGGGACAAGTGGTCGAAGGCCAGGTGAATGAGGAAGGTCAAATAGTGATTGACGGTGAGCTGGCTGACAGCCAACTGATGGTCGATGGCCAGATATTGGGTAATTCAAAAGTTGATAGTGTTGCAGTGTCCATAGAAACAGATGAAAACAATGAAAGTAGCAAGGTAGCAACCGCTACAGGTGTTTGAGAAATCTTCTTGTTTGAAGTTTGTTTGAAAGCTTAATAATGAACTAAAAAGCAACAAGAAATGTGCCTAACTGTTTTACGAGTGGCTTAAGCCCTCCTGTGTGCCGCTATGGGGAACAACTATAATTGCAACCCATGACCCTGGGGGTGACCCTGGGTTTATCGATGTCAGTAATTAAGCATAGTTCCTTCTTCCTGTCAAAAAAAAAAGTTGGAAAGCCATACAGTTTGAATATCACTCTAAACCTAAAAAAGACATGGAAAGCATTATTTATTTCATGAATTTGTACGTCTTGAAAATATATCAAAGAATGTAGTAAGGAATATGAAATTTCCTTTTATATATGAAAATATATAGGTAAAATTTGGGATAGCATTTGATATTAAAAACATTTGTTAAAATATAAGTTGTTAGTCTTGTTACACTTAAAATGAGTGTGTCGAAAAAGAAAAAAGATTTTTTTTTTAAACAATTGGTATGTCATATGTCTTTTTCTAACCTTCACCCTAAAACTTAAATAAATATCTCATTAGTATTTAAATGCTATAATTTATATTTTACTGTATTTTATTTATATTTTCTCAGTGTGAAACCATTACAGGCTTTTCATACAATAGAACCTAGCATAGGTCTTAATTGGCTAGGATCTAATTCATGATCAACAACCAATATATTGCAGGCATGGTATTTATCAGGCTGATTCAAATAATTGTCATACTGATGTATAGAGGGTGCTGTAACTTTTGTTTGCGATATCTGTGCTGGCTGTTATGTTATACGCAAGGATATTTAATTGTCAAGATTAAATTGTTGGCAACATTTGAATTACAATATTATTGACCAAATATTTATTACTATAATTGGATGTTGTAAATATATAGGATATAGCAAGTTATGTCTTCCATTAATTTGTGGGGTTTCATTTGTTTTCTAATTTATGTTATATCCGATGTTGGCAGAGAATAGTGTCATTGGAAAATACAGTAAAGTTATTCCAACAGTACACATAGAATTTAATGATTCCCTTATGTTTGTGGGTGTAGCCATGGAGGAATAAGTTCTGAACTTATTCCTCCATGGTGTTGTTAACTTAATTTCAATGTAATTTGGGTTTGTAGGCTTTTAATAATTAAACCAGAGAGTGCAATGCTCACCCTTAACAAAAGATCTTAGCAGGCATCTGTTTGAACTCAAAAGACTGTCCTTGCTATTCTTTTCAATAAAGATATCAGCAGACAAATTCAGGAAATGCAATAAAAATTCAATCAATTTATCAATCAAAAATATTTATGAAGTGTCTAATCTAATTTATTTTTCCTATTAGGCCAAAATTTAGTAACTTTCACTATGATTGTTTTACCGTATTCTTCTTCTTATTATTATCATTATTATTATTATTAATATTATTATTATTGTTGTTGTTATTATTATTGTTATCATTATTATTATTATTCATTTTTTTTCCCTCATACAAGTCCTACCTAAGTTACTTGTACTGTAGAATATTTCTTCAAAGCTATACATTTTGTATATACTGTATGATTCAATATGCTACAGGTAATTATTTTCCATGTGAATATAATGAATAACCTTTAACCTTTACTGATGTACAATTGCATACAGTTCAGCCTCCAATTTGAGACTACCTTTGAGACCTGAAAATATGGGGTGGTTTTGGGATTCGGTCTCCAATTAGAAGGTAGCTTGAGTTAAAAAATTGATGAATATTAGGTGGTACTTTGAAAAAGTGGTCTCATGTAAGAGGGCTCTTGAATTGGAAGGTGAACATATACCGCCAACGGTTTTTGCCGCGGCTGATGTGGTTCCATGAAATATGCAACGCGATGAGGTGTGCACAGCAGTATTGTGTTGTCAAGCGTTCACCGAAATGGACTCGGTGGCATATCTTAGAGGGTTCCCCAAAAATACTCTTCCCCTACATCCTTCAGTGTCCCCCACCCACATCGAAAATGTTCAAAGCAAAAAGTAGTGCTCAAGTAGTCCCCTCAAATCATCTTATTTTGAGAGTCAGTGCCTCTCCCCTAATCATTGAGCCCTCAATTCAGTTTTTGCACCCCCCCCCCCACATCAGTCGCCCATTTAACGACTCCTAGATATGCCACTGGATAGACTCGTCTGTGATGCCGTGTGTTGCTGGACTTAATTTTATCAGAGGGTGTGCCACAAACAGTAAAATAGTGAAAGTTATAATGATTGCTGATAATAGCTACCTATTATAGATAGGTTTGTATTTTTATAAATATGTTGGAATACTATTTACATTTTCTTTCATTTGAAGTAATTTAGGAAAGGAGTTTGACAATGTTACTTGTGTTTAATTTGACTGTTGCTTGTAGTACACCATGATGTATTTCAACACAGCTACTAATGTTGTTTTTCCAATAAAATAACATGATGGCCTATCTGATGACATTGCCTTGGTGTTAATTATTGATTTGCGATTCAATTTAATTCAATTCAAATTTATTTGAGCATAATTCAACACATTACAAATAACAAAACAATGAACAATAAAAAGATAATTTAGTAAAACATTTACAGCTCAGGATAACCAAAAAAAACCGAATCGGTTTATTTCCGTTGGGGTCCCTT